TGAATAAAATGAGTTCTAAAAGTAAGACTGAGATTTCTGTCAGTTTACCTTATTCTCTTCAATAATTCTTCTTATAAGAAGCCTAGGAAGAATCTTGTTTTCTATTGATTTGGGCTACCAAGAGCTTGAAAACTCTGCTGTTTCATTTGGTACACCAAGGCCAAATTTTCTACCTCATGTGAAGAGACCTATTCCAGTCCATTTCATTCCATCTTGACTTCTGCTCTGACAACATCAAGTTTGCCTTGGTTCATGGTTCCACTAATACTAATACTATTCGTATCTTTGCAGCATCAACTTTTTCTTTTTCCTCTGGACATGTCAGCAGCTGAATTACCTTTCATTTTAACAAGTTAGAGCTGGAGGGTTCACTTTTTGGTCCTCTGTAAGGTGCAGAAACCAGGCTGTTTTTTGAGACATTTGAAGTATGATCTATTATTTTTAAATTGTCTCTACTGCGGTTGTTTTTAATTGATAGCTAGCCATCCAGAGTCATATGTCAAGTGGGTGGCCACATAAATGTAAATAAAAAATAAATACATTAACACTGTTCTGATTGTGAATATCCATTTGGCTTTCTTTGGAGTAGGTTGTCATACCCTCCTCCAATGAATCATATTTTAGTCCAATTCTTCATCTATTACCAGTATGCCATGGGTGATCCTTCTGGGAGTAAAGATTCCCAACAATATAGCTCCTAGCATTATTGGGGCGCACAAGCCCTTTTACCACTACGTGATAACAATCCATGAAAGGGGTTATTATTTTGTAGTGATTAAATATAGCCACTTACGATGCCTTCATATCCAGACAGACAGTGCGACTAAGACGACATTTTGTTAAATGCAAAGATTGTATTGGATAAAGATAAGGGAGCAATATCTTATAGACACATTGGAGAATCTTGCTTATATATCAAAGTCTGAACTAGATTTGAAACACAAGCACACTAGTGTAATAGATACCTGCTGACAAAACAGCTGTTCTGCTCCAGCTGAAGCTTCTCAACTGTAATCAAGATTACCACCAAATTAGCGTTGAGGTCAAACTGCTATGCATGTTGAACCCCCAAATATGTAGAAAGCACTAGGCTGAAAGGCCAATGTAAAAAAATGAATCCATATGGCTTATGCACAAAAAATCATTTTTGTTTGTTTTGTTTTTAGTTTGAATCATATGTTTGGCGTACCTTAGGGATCAGCAAGTCAGACATTCTCATTGGATAATAAACAGTTGAAAAATCATAGTCAAGTAGTTAACAGTACTGACAAAGTCTCTGAAAAACACAATTGGCAGCTACATTTATTGCAAGCTCAACATAATATCCTTAAATCAAATATCACGATGCTTAGAGTAGCAGCGAAAGTGAAATACAAAACAAACTGACTTTCTTCAAGCGCTACCTTTCATGTTGAAGCTCGGAAGCAGTTATGCCATTTTATCAAGTACCGGGAAAAACACGATAAGGGTCTTTTTTCACCTTGCTGTTTGCACTAATCATGTGACAGGAAAAGATAACACCAAAAGTTTTTTTTTCTTCCTTCTGTATTGCTATTACGGAAAGTTAAATATATTCAAAGAGTGATTTAAAGAATGCATTATTCTACTTTAAGTATATCCTGCAATCTAATCATTTTCTTTTTACTTCCTAGAACAACACTTTCAGTAGTGTTAAACAAATATATAGGTGAAACAAGTTTGTCCATTTTTTAACAAAAACTCACAATGTAAGTAATTATTATGCTTGTATAGGCACTGGAGTAAGTAGATATTGTCTAAGAACTGTGTAATCTCAAAGATGATTTGGTGACTCTCTTCAGTTCAGAAAGATAATGGAAAAGAGTTCCTAATTTGAAAGTGACAGTGAGCACGCTTACAAATGAATTACTGTTACATCCCATCAAGCTGGTATTTTAATGGTGGCAATGGTCTCAATGGAAAATTGAGAACAGAAATGCATGTAACTAGAAAATCAGTACACATGTACATCTTGATCAAAATCCTTAGTCTTACAAGACCGAAGAGGACAGGATTATAAAAATGAACATACAGAAAATGATAATGTATTTTGTAAGCATTTTAACTCTATAGCGGTGCATGGAAATACATGTACTTCTGTAAAGCCTGCCTTTATTCCCCTGGAAAGCCCTTCTGGATTTTAAATGTGCATGCAAGAAAGTAAAGAAACACAGAAGGCCATGTCCCCACAGTTCCAGACAATTGGTGACTGACTTTTGGCCCACAGAACTGAAGTGGGATTCCTCTATTTCCCTGAAGCTCTGTCTAACCTGCAGCTAATAGCTATTTAAAGCACACTCATCTAGTTATTCCCTACCATTCTGTGCTTCCTTTCCCTGCACCGTGACTTTTTTGCCTATCAAAAATACATGGAATTAGCAAAGTCAGCTTCAAGAAAGTCACAGCTGCAAAATGCTTCAAGTCCTGAAGCGGCTGCTCTTTGGGAATCACCTAACATCAGTAGGTGGCCTTGAGGAAGAAGAAGGCATTCTGGTTTTCATCTGCTGACTTCATCTAGTCAGACAGGGAGAGGGCTGGAAAATAAGCCAAATGTCTGGCTGGATCTTTTTCTCCATACCTATTGAATTGAGTATGTCAACAGTTAGAAAGAAATTCAACCCAAATAGGTATTTTCAGCCAATCTGTTTTGGATACAATATATTCACTGTATCACATTTTTTTCCTAAAAACTTATGTGAACACTTCCACACAAAAACATTACATAAGGTCTCAAATTCTAAGTGACATTTCCACAGGTACATCTGTGGTGAGGTAGAAAACATATGGATCCATAAGAGAAGCATTGTGATCATCTTTAAATCAAGCAAACCAATAGAATCTGTGACCTGTCCAGCCAAATATAAACCTGTCCAGCCAAGCAGCATAGCCTGCCAGGTAGTTGATATCACCCCCTGTTTTCATCCACTTCCACCAGACAGACCCCATTTTTTTTAAATTAAATTTAAAGCTACTCCAATATTTATAGTATCTACATATTTAACCATATTAATATTATAGGAATATTTTAATATATGTGCTCGGTAATTCCCTAAGAATGCCACAAACATTTGCTTTATTTCAGTCAATAAGCTGGAAATGTTGACAGTGGTATCTTCAATCAAGCTGGATTCTTGTACTTAACTATATGATTAAAATGAACTTTATTCTTCAGCAAAAATCTTGATGGGAGGCTCTTAAGCAACACCAAGACATAAGTAGTTGCAGATGTGCTTTCTTTCTATTAAACAAAAAATTAGCCTGCAGGTCCTACTGTAAAGTGATTAACTTCATAACTGAGTAAAGACATCCAACTTGAAAGAAAGATCACAGTTCACCTCTTGATGCATATGCATGTGGAAGTGCCCAGTGCAAATTTCATGGATACTAACAATTATAAAACAGAAAAGATCAAAAAATAATATTTAGTTAAGAAAATTCACAAGGATCAGAAAATATGTGGTTATTATATATATAAATGCTGTGGTTATTTTTTTCCATTTTAAATACTTACATTGGTGTTACCAAATGGTCCATAAGCACAGGGCAGCCTAGAATGCACTGAGGAAACACATGTGTCCCATTAATAACAGAGACAGATGATTTTCAATCCTGTACTTCTGTACATATACTTATGACAAGTAATTGGTGTAATTACAAATCAGGAGTAGTTGGAAATGAAAATAAATGTTTGTTGCCCAATCACTACAATAGTTTGGTGTAGTGGTTAAGGTGCTGCCCTAGAAACCAGGAGACTGTGAGTTCTAGACTGCCTTAGATGTAAAAGCCAGCTGGGTGCATTTAGGCCACTCACTCTCTCTCAGCCCAACATACCTCACAGGGTTGTTGTAGGGAAAATAGATGGGCAGGAATATTAGGTATGTTTGCCACCTTGAGTTATATATAAAAAAGGTGGGATAAAAATATAGTAGTCATAATAATAATCCTTGAATTGTTAGGATGTTCCATTACATAAATATAAATTTGCTAAATAAATAAATATTCTACTTCTTAAATATACATTGGATAAGGCTTTAAAGAATGCCGCCTTGTATCTGCATGTTAGAAAAGGTTTAGGAAAGGAACCCCAAAGCAGTAATTGAACCAGGGCCCATTCACTGATATGCAGTTGTGAGCTGTAAGATGGCTGTTTAAAACACATTGGACAAATTCACAAGTAAATTCTTCCAGTTGTCTTAACTACTACATCTAAATAGAATTTCTATACTAGAAATAGTGATAGGGAGAATATAGCTCTCAATAGCACTGGCAGCAGCTGGCAGAATGGTCCCCGCCACTTATCCTGCTAGGAGCTTCTAGCTTCTACTTTTTTTAGGGGGAAGGGGCTTTCAGTCAGCGTTGACTCCTGGTGACTTGCCTGGACAAGTCCCTGCAGTTTTCTTGGCAATTTTGCAAGTGGTTTGCCATTGGCTCCTCCCCAGGGCTGAGAGAGAGTGACTGGCCCAAGGTCATCCAGCTGACTTCGTGCCTAAGGGTCACGGGTCAGGGGTCTCCCTGTTTCTAGCCTGCTGACTTTAACCACTAGGACAAACTGACTCTCTTTGTGGCTTGTTCCTAGCCAGAAGCAAAAGAGAATCATGTTTCTGTAGGTCCAGGAGATAATTTCAGAAGATAAAGCTTAGGTGACAAGCTTCAACTGCTGAAATCCCCTCTTCTACACCCGTTATAGGTGCAGCACCGAGGCTCATCCTTTTTTGCTTAGTTATATATAGGCTGAATTGTATTCCGTTACAGAATTAAAACAGAAGCGGAAGCCCAGTTTTCTCTTTAATTGGGCTCGTGCTTGGCAGCTGTGCCGGAATACTCGATGGGTCTGAACCAGCCAACTAATTCTTATGCTCTTATTAGCGCAGAATACGCAGAGCAAAGGGAGACAGAACTACTGGGAACGAGTTGTTAGTAGGAAGCCCCGTGCAATTAATCATTGCTTCCAGAGATACAATCCGGGTTGCAATCGCAGGTACCTCGAGATGCCAGCCGGACAGAGAACTGCATTGTCAGCCCTCGGCAATCCGGACCCGTCAGAAACGGGAAGCGCCAGATAAGGAGCCGCGGGGCCGACGGACGGTCCGCCAGACGGAAGGAGGGACACGAGCCCAGCGCGGGTGGGAGGGGTAGGTGGCATTTGGGAGGCAGAGTCCCTCATCTCGCGCTGGGCAGCTCGTGGTGCTCTCGCGATGTTTCCCCGCCGCGGCGGCTGCTGCTGCCGCCTCAGCAACTTCGTTCGCCCTGTCGCTCCGCGGAGCCGGCTCTATGGCGGCGCTGCGGGGGCTCTTGGGCTGGCGTCGTTGTCGCCTCCCCCCGGAGACGGCCCCCCGCCGGCCGCTGTGGGGCCTGAAGGCCGCCGGCTCCGGCCGCGAGGGGAGCCCGAGTGGAGTGAGCATCGCAGCCGCGGGGGCTGCTGGCGGGGCGCTCGCTTGGTTCGCCTGCCACCACTTCTATGACCGCCGCCCCCGCCAGTCGCCCCCGGCGCTTGGGCTCGGCAGCCGGAGGGAGGGTGGAGAAGAAGCCGGGGCGCCGAGCCAAGGCCGGGGACTGCTACCCATCCCTGTGGCGACCGCTGCCAAGGAGACGACGGTAAGTGTCTGGCGGGGGTGACGGAGAGCGCGAGCGCCCGCCTTGTCCCGCCTCTCCCTCCCTCCCTGCCTCCCTCCCTTCTCGCCCCAGAGGATGGATGGGTGGATGGATGGCAGCCGCCTCCAATGATGCTCTTGGGGAAGCGGGGTAGAGAAAGGGCGTCCTTCCCCGGGGTCGCCCCTGCTAGCCTTCCCTTTCTTCAATTCTCCCAGCCTTACTGGGGGACTGCTAGTAGGACACTCTCTGCACGCTGACGAAGGACAAGGCGAGACTTTAGCTCTCCTGAAGTCCCCTGGAGAAGAACAGGATTAGCCACTGTCAGTGAGATCAATGCAAGTTAATCAGGGTCTGGAGAGGGACGCAAGGGGTCGTTTTCTATTTAATGTTGAATGTGAACTAGTTGTTCTTTAGTGTGGCAAATGCATTCTGGTGCTAGGAATGGCTGGTGCGCAGATTACCATTTCACTGTTGTCAATGGCATTTCTGTGCTTTCTTGTGCAGCAGTTGCCCACAATTAAAAGCATAAATGGGGAGAAGTAGCCATAAGAGGGTGAAACTACAGTCCCTGGCAACTTCCAGAACTGGAATGACAAGGTTAGGGTTGGAATGATTGAGTGGCAAGAATAAGGGGCACATTATAAAATACAGTAACTGAAGTGAATGGGTTAAGACTGAAATGACAGCCCCAAGATTCATAGATGTTTTCTGGGCATAATGCTTCTGAAATAAAGTTGATAGGAGAACATTATGTCTGCTGCCCTATATTAAGGGTGACTGTATAATATTGGCATATACTAACATTCTTAATCACAGACAAATAATTTGTGGAACCATAACCATGCATACAAGGTGACAGAAACATTCTTAATTTAAGTCCTAATAATATGGACACTTTCTGCAAATGAAATAGGTTGGAAGTTTAAAAGTTGATGGCAGACAGAAAGCATGATGCTATCATGACCTGCAGCTGTAATAAAGCACTACATAGTTTTCTGATGTGAAACTACTTTCCATTAATCTTCTGCACATACTGATGTATGCTGATTATTTTTCACAACAAGTCCTAACTCCTAAAGTTGTGCAAGTTAGTTATTTGTACAGTTATAGAAAAGAGTGAACATACTCTTTATATTTAATTTTCCTGCACATACAATCCCTACATAAAGAAAATGTTCACTGGTACATAGTTTGTAGCATACTTCCTGTCTGAATTACCACATTCTGATCCTATAATCACAAGAAAGTCATTGAATGTTATACATACATTAATCATAGAGTCCATATACTGGAGCGTGCTTGTGCACAGCAGAACCATCCTCCCTTTAGTACTAAAAGAAACTGTAATTGTTAATAAATTATTACAAGATCTTTGGCTGAACATGCAGTGATATTATTATTTTAGGCTACCAATTATATCTACAATGTCAGTGCCCCAGATTCAAGTTGGTCTTTATTAGAACTTCCAGGCTCTAGCAACATATTGTTATGACAAAAGATTAGAAATCAGTTCTTTAAAAATGAAGGTGGTATATACTAAGTAGTTGTCAGTTTATTTAGAGCTAAGGTGGCGCAGGTGGCTTAATGACGCTGAAAGTTGCCGGCCAGAAATGGTCGACACTTCAGCGGTTCGAGCC